ACAAACGTTGGGGGGAGGGAGTTCGGTGCGGGGGCTGCGGGGAGGGCGCAAATGATGCAGGGAGGGAGCTCGGTGCGGGCGGCTGCGGGAACCCACCCTGGGTTCAAGGGCATGGACTCGGGGATCTTGTCCGTGGACACAGAAACTGGGCACCCAGAGGACTTGCTGGACTCCTGCCCCAGAACGTGCTTCCCTGTGCTGGAAACGTTGGGGGGAGGGAGTTCGGTGCGGGGGCTGCGGGGAGGGCGCAAATGATGCAGGGAGGGAGCTCGGTGCGGGCGGCTGCGGGAACCCACCCTGGGTTCAAGGGCATGGACTCGGGGATCTTGTCCGTGGACACAGAAACTGGGCACCCAGAGGACTTGCTGGACTCCTGCCCCAGAACGTGCTTCCCTGTGCTGGGATGAGCCATTAACTCTAAAACATGTGGTGGAGCTCTGTTTGTGCTAACTGTCCCCATCTTGGTGTCCCTTTTCCCTGGTGTGCAGTTCACAACATGGCGCTTACCTTTGCCACATGAAACCTCTGTGTCCCAGAGAGGCACTTGTCACTACCGTATCTGGGCACCAGAAATTGATCTGTGACTTTCTTAAGAAAGTAGCCAATGAGATGTATTAACTGTTCTTTCTATCCTGGAATCTGCTCTGGTAACTGCCTTCCCTGCAGGAATCTTCTCTGCCCACATGGTGTAGAATAACATAGTGTGGGGCTCTGAAGTTGCACCAGCTCTTGAGAATGCAGCCTGAGTTAGGCTTTCTCTTTAAATCATTGAGTCATAGTGACAAACACCAATGACCCTGGTTGCAGCCTGAGTTAGGCTTTCTCTTTAAATCATTGTCATAGTGACAAACACCAATGAGCCTGGCAGAGGATGATGGGGTTGGAGCTAGAGGTGAAGCTTCTCTGAACTAGTAACAGGAAGGCCATTCTTTCTGGGATCTCCCAGACCTGCCATCTGGCCTGTGAATTAAGATTAAGATCACAAGTCATTGAGGTGGCCTGCTGCACATCTCCAGATTGTTGTCATCTGTATAGGATTGGACACCTCCACTCTCTACCTGTTTGCTTTCAGCTGGAGATTGGAACAGAGTTGGACACCATGACTTGCTTTCCTCCCTAGAATACTTCCCTTCTCCATTTTTCTGCCGCAGCAGGTGTGGTGGTACTTTACCTATGGAAGCCTGTGGCATCTGCTTCTTGTTCATGGTTTTGGTCGCTATGTTGACTGGGATTTGTCTAGCAATGAGAGGGCTTTTAATCACTGATCTGTTTGAACTTGTCTCTGCTGACTGATGCAGGGCAATAAGTATTTTTACTTTGAAATGGATTCTCTGTCCTTATCTCCATTCTTTTTATCTTAGGTGAGTTGCTTCCCTCTCTGTGCATCACTTATCCTCAGATTGGGTTGATATTTGCAAAAGTGTTTTGTGATGCTGAGAGTGGAGGGTTCCAGTGCCTGGTAAGGGGTGAAGCCTGGTAGAAGACAATGGGATTGGAGGTGAAGTTTCGCGGAAGGCCACTCTTTTCGCTATCTCCCAGACCTGCCCTGTGAATTAAGGTCACGATCACAGGTCATTGAGGTGGCCTGCTGTATATCTCCAGGCTGTTGTCGTCTGTGTAGGATTGGACACCTCCACTCTCTGCTGGTTGATACACTTCTCCACGGATGGGAGCTCTTCCCTATACCTGGACCAAGTTGGCTACACTAATTCAGAGGATGACAGGGTTGGGGAGACTGGGGTGCAGCCAACTTTTATCCTGACTGTAGTCCTGCTCCTCCTGCTTGCAGTGCCGTATTGACATCCAAGAAGTCCCAGCGGAGACAGTATATGATGTGCTACATGATATTGAGTATCGCAGGAAGTGGGACATGAGCGTCATTGACACGCATGACATTGCCCAGCTTGCCACCAATGCTGATGTGGGCTACTATGCCTGTGAGTGTTGGCTGGGGGGGCTGCTTTGGCTGAGTGTGGCAAAAGGTGTGATCAACCCCAAAGAGCTTGAAATCCTGAGTTAAACAAGTGTAGGGCCCATTCAGTTTCCTTTAGTAGGAAGTAGCAAAGACTGAATCCACTCGGTATGCCTCAAATAGACACAGTCTGGTCAGGGGAAGAGCTGGCTTCCCACACACCACTGGACTTTCTAACGGGTGAGGGGAGTTCACTCCCCCAGGCTCTTTTCATCCTTGGACTCTGTTGAGGCTGCTAACAAAAGGGCCAGCTGGGCTTGTAGGAGATGAAGGGAGGCATTGGTGTCAGGATCCAGAGAGATCGCTAACTGCCCACTTACTCCTCAAGTGGGCAAGGTAGAAACCCTCTAGTATGACTGCATTTCTCACTGGGTGAGTTGAAGTGACTTTACTTCCTTCTTGGCTAGGGAAATGTCCAAAGCCCTTAAAGAACAGAGATGTGGTGACACTACGATCCTGGCAGGTTGTGGATAAATATTTCATGATCATCAACTTCTCTGTCAAACACCCGGTGAGTCAGGTGGTGGGGAGGGGGTGGAAAGAGCTCAATTCCATAGCTCCCATGGAAGTTTCAGTAATGCCTGCCTAGATGCCTCCTTCATGAATGACTCCACCTCACAGCTAGTCATAAACTGGGTGGGTTTGTCTGGGTTTCAAGTTAAGGAGGCTCTGTTGAGCAGAATGTGATTCTGGTTTTCATTAAACTGAGCTGCACATGTTTACCTGCCACCGTTTTACTGATACCTTAGTGTACAGGCAAGGCAGCCTGTCCCTGTGTCTTTGGGTGTGCAGGGACCTTTATTATGGTGGGTTATGTACTGTATAATTAACTCCTTACAAATCAGGTACTATCTCTGAGCCTCTAAATTTAGTCCCATTGCCCTTGGTGTATAGCACCAAATGAGAGAATATCACCAGGGAAGGTGACAGGGTCTGAGTGTCTGATTTCACCATACAGCAATATCCTCCCCGAAAGGACCTGGTAAGGGCTGTTTCTATCTTGGCGGGATACTTGGTGCAGTCAACTGGACCAAATAGCTGCACCTTGACTTACCTGGCTCAGGTGGACCCCAAAGGTAAGTCTGGCTCGGCATCACTTGTGGGTGTGCAAGGGGGTGAGGTAAGTTCAGGTTGAAGTGAAAGCTATGAGATCATCTTGCAGCTTTGCAGGTGTACCTTGGGACGGGACCATTGTGTGTGGTCACAGTCTGGCACAAATGCAGCATTTTTCTGCCATGGCTCACTAATGATTCTGTTTCTCCACCTTTCTTTTTTATGCATTAGGGAAGCTGCCAAAGTGGGTTGTGAATAAAGCTTCCCAGTACCTGGCACCAAGGGTGAGTGAAGGAGCTCCTGAGTAGAGGAGTAATAGGATTACCCATCATTCATAGTTCCTTAAAAAAGGGCTGGCAATAGTGGAGATCAGCTAACTTGTCCTTAGACTTTCCAGCCCATCTAACTTCCTGGTACAGAGAGAACAGGTGTCCTTAGACTTTCCAGCCCATCTAACTTCCTGGTACAGGCCTGAGCAAGAGAGAACAGGGCACCCTAGCTATCCCTTGGATTTGCTGCTAGAATGTGCTTCCCTAGTTACTCCAATGACTGACTTCTGATACATCAGAGAGGTGAAAAACCTGTGCACAATGCTTGGTCTTGGGATCCCCAGCTTGTGACCAGTGGGCTCTGCATGAGGTGCAGCATCCTCTGAACTCTAGGAATAGTGAGGAAGATACAGGTCAGGATTGCAGTGCAATAATAGGAAACCTATTTACATGAGGTATATGTGAGACACTGGAGTGTGACATGGGTCAGCATCCTGGGTTCTATCCCCACCTCTGTCACTGGACCTGACAAAGGTGTAATAGTGACTTTTTGGCTCAGCCTCTATTTCTCCAACTGTAAAATGGGGATAATAGTGGTTTCCCTCATAGAGAAGGCACTGAAGCACATTGAGATCCTTAGATTTATTGAAGATGCTGATTGCTTATCCAAATGAACGGAAACTATATTGAAGATGCTGATTGCTTATCCAAATGAATGGAAACTACTCCTATAAGAAAATGTACAATATTTATCTATCTGTGCATTTGAGTCTGTCCTCTCAACCTGGCTCAGGTAACTGTGCAGCACCCAGCCTTTCCATAACATTAAGTAGATAAGAAAATGCATAGAGTCCAGTAGTGCTCAGATTCTAGTCTGTCCATTTTCTTGGTTCCCTTTTCCGCTTGTCAGATGCTGAAGAAGATGCTTAAGGCCTGCTTGAAATATCCCTCCTGGAAACAGCAGCATAATATCAACATGAAGCCCTGGCTGTACCCTGAGCAGAGCAAGCTCCCCAACATGATGCTGTCAGACCTGGCACTCCAGCATGCTGCATCTCTGGAGAACATTGATGAGAGCAGCCTATCAGAGGTGAAGGATGAGAGAGGAGACCACAGTGGCTCTGAGAACTGATGCTGCTTGGCTCTCTTCCAGGAGCAATGCTGCACTAGACCTTTTTTGGATTCTTCCTGACAATTTTTACATTAAGGGGAGGAGGGGGAAATGCGTATTTTATGCTTAAGGTATTTAGTTCTTCCTGGCATGAGCCACGAGACCATGTTTGGGCCTTTAGCACAGAGGGTCTCTTCCCATCAGGATGGGAACAGAAGACAGTGGTTAAATGAGGTGGTTGGAGCACCTGGGTTCTATTGTACTAACACAGGTATTTCAGGGTAAATCTCAGGAAATTATCAGTGATATCTGATAGGATATTAATTTCTTCTGCTCAGTGAATCTTTGTCCTGTGACCAAGATCTGTTGCTTCATAGGAAGACAAAGATACCCATAATATACCTGGCCAACTAAGCTGTGCTGCCTCTGGGTTGGAGTTGCTCCCTGAAGTGCTAATGATGCCCCAGTCTGTGAGGTTTTTGTCTGTTTTCTGAGAGCTATTAAGAACAAAACAACATTAAACAGAGTATCCTCTTGCAGAAACAGCAAGAGTGAGTTTGGGATGATGACCATCCCTACATTCTGGGGATAAAGGATAAACATATTTGCCTGTTCAAAGTTTGTGTGAATCACCCTGTCAGAGCTGAGGAATTTAACTACAATGCAAGAGGGAGGAATATGCCCCAGAAAGACCTTAACGACTGAAAGTTTATTGCTGTGGTAACTTAGGGATGTCACCCTCTTACCGCTAGGTGAACTTAACTCCATTCAATGCAAGCCTGCCTTGCTGTAATAGCTACAGCAGTTGAAGCTGGAAAGGGACAGATACAAATAAGCCTCAGGGGAAGAGGTTGGTTTTGTCGTCAAGATGACAAGAAATGGACTTGAAGTAGAACTAGGGCTGTCAAATGATTTAATGTGATTAATCACTTTTTAATCTCATGATCAATCAGAACTTTAAACAATATTGGAATGCCATTTATTAAAATAATTTTGCCAGTATCTTTGGTCTAGTATGTTTTGGGGGCAGAGCTGTTTCCTTAAGCATTGTTCTTGGGGGCCTGAAGGCTTTTCAGCCAGCAGCAGCTGCTGGCAGCTCTCACCTGTCTGTTAAGGGCAGATGCTTCAGAGGTGGTGAACAGAACAGGGCAATTTGAGTGAACCATCCCAGTGTCTAGTCCTACCTTCTAAGCAGTTGGAAATTTAGGGAATATACAAAGCATGATAAGATTGACTGAGTCCTGGAGGCGAAAGGTATAAAATTGATGGAGCTAGCACTGCATTTAAGACTCCTGCTCTTAATAAAATGAGCTTAAATGTTGTGAGAAATTCTTGGGGTTGTCTCTGTGGGGTTGTAATTAACTACGTGGAGACAAGTGAGAACCCATGAGCCTCTGAGCTATGGCCCCAGAATGATACTGATGGTAGCCTTCTGTTAAAAGGCCTTATGCAAATACTTGTCTGTGCTGAGAGCACTGCTAAATCTGCCAGGCCTATTTGCTCACTGCACTCTCTATTCTGCAATACATGGTAGGTGTTGGCTCTGAGAGGCTGGGTGTGAAACTGTTTACTGAACCCTCCCCGGGGATGTTTGCACACTCAAGCAGTTGAAGCTAGAAGTACAATAATTTTGCAGGCAGGCAGTTGGGATTTGTAGGGTTGGCTTATAACAGGATGGCTGTGTCTACACTGGGCCACTTATTCTGGAAAAGCAGCCACTTTTCCGGAATAACTTGCCAGCTGTCTACACTGGCCGCTTGCTTTTCCAGAAAAGCAATGACTATCTACTGTAAAATTGTCAGTGTTTTTCCGGAAAAACTATGCTGCTCCCGTTCGGGCAAAAGTCCTTTTCCGGAAAAATTGTTCTGGGAAAGGGCCCGTGTAGACAGCACAGTAGTCTTTTCTGCAAAAAAGCCCCGATCGCGAAAATGACGATCGGGGCTTTTTTCCGGAAAAGTGCGTCTACATTGGCCATGGATGCTTTTCCGGAAAAGCATCCTGCCAATGTAGACGCGCTTTTTCTGGAAATACTTATAACGGAAAACTGTTCCGTTTTAAGCATTTCCGGAAAAGGGTGCCAGTGTAAACGTAGCCAATGTGTTCCTTTTACAAGCCAGTGGAACTATGTCCATGAATGTTCTATAAAGGCAGGTCAGTATAGGAAAGGGCAGGGAGCCTGTACTTGCCTGTCTGCTGTACAATGCAGCTTTACCCCCAGGGCACTATTCCCATTGTCAGCAGCGGGCCTGTAGCAGGGAGACAGCCAGATCAGGTTGAGTTTTGATAGATTACTTGTTCAGTTCCAGTCACAACAACAGTGGGTAATTGTTGAAGTGTCTTTTCAGTGCCTGTAGCTGCAGAAGGCCAGTCTTGTGTGTAATTTTAGCCTCCAAAGCAGACTAATTGAGTTGTGCTCACTGCACTTCCTCCAACTGTGGGATGGATGGGTATAATTAATCAGACCACATTCATTTCCTGGGAAGGAACTAAAACTTACTACAGAAACTAGACTTCAAAAGTAACTTTTTTTTATTAAGACTTGTAGGTGTCTACAAAGTGATAGAACAAATCCCAGTGCAGGAGAGCAGATTTAGCCTCAGATCCTGTTTGGCAAGAGCAAAGAAGCTTTGAGGATTATGACATCACCCCATCGCTGGGATTCCTACCAAGAAATCTGCTCCTGGAAGGAAGTGTACTATTTTCCCACATAGGGCATGTGGGTTCTCTTGACATTCATAAACAGGCAACATCCAGTTAATGCGGTAGCAGGCAAATCACATAACCTATGTGGATGGAACAAGAGGGATGCATGTACAACTCTGGGAATCCTACAGGGAAAAGATCTGAGTGGACCTTCAGGTATCTACCACAGCAGCAGTGTAAAATGTTTAACAATAAAAGCAGCCGTGTCACAGGAGGAGTCGAACAGAGTGGTGGTGTGTTTGGTAACTGCATAATTTGGAAAATGTCCCCAGATTTACTTCAAGGGGGTTATTAAATCATGAAGGGATATAAGCATGCTGTATTCCTAAAATCCAGAAAGACGGCTGTATGGATACCCTAGTTCAGTGAAGTTACCTACTCTTCCCTGGATCCCAGCCAATCCATTATTCTAGAAAGAAGCAGCTTGAGCAGTAGATAAGTGGGAGGATTTCAAGCCATGTTTACGAAAGGGGCTGAACAGCATATTCACCTTTTAGAATAGGGGAAGGTGCCTGTGTCAGGCTGCAGCAAGTGACCACCAGTGGGGGAGAACGAATCAATTCATCCCCACCCATAGGATTCTTGTTGTCTCTGTCCAAACACTATTGAGCTGTGAAAAAGATGCAGCACCTACTTTTAAAGGAAACTCCAGGGGATGGTAAATTGGGCAGGCACAAGCCTTGACAATGGCTGACAGCAGCTTATCTGCCTCATGCCAGCTGCTTCATTAGTGTTGTACAATTTTGAAGTGCAGTGCATGTTGTGTAGGGCAAAAGACGTTCAAGACCATGTTGGAAAGAGAAAACCTGCTCTGTGCTTGGGTTACATTCAGCACCCCACTCCCATCATCTTGTGCTCTAAATCAAACTCTGTGGGCCATGTACATAGACCCTCCCTCTTTGGCCCCATGCCTTGTTGAGAAGGGAAAGACTAGGATCCCATAATCTCCTTTAAAAGATGCAATCACATACTGAACAGACACCCCATAGGTATATGTGTGGCCAGAGAAGCCACTGTTCATTTCTCAGCATCCGCCAAATCCCACTTCTCCATCAACCTCTTCAGCTCAGTACCTAAACCAGAAATTAAGAGTCAGATCCCTCTCCTACCACAGCTTTGACTCCATGATGCAAAAAGCAGGAAGAGTTTGTGTCCATTATTACAAAGATCAGAGCTGGGATCTTTGAGAGTTGAGGCCTATAGAGTCAGCAGATAGCTTCACCTCTGCCCAAAGCTGAAACTTGAAGGAAAATCTAATTTAGTGTCAAGTCTCCCCAGTTCTGAGGAGAGCAGTCTTCTTGCTGTGACCCAATGAAACTGGGGGCACAGCAGCCATTACTAGGGAGGACTTCGTTAGTGAACAGTTCTCTCCTTCTGTCTTTGGTAATCTGGAATGGAAAAGCAGGCATTAGTGAAGCAGAGTAGGACAGAGAATAGGGCTCAGGTGATTCTATTTGAGTACAGGCATTGCTCTATATGGAACAATGTCCTGTCAGTTTTAGAAAGAGGTAGTTGTGTTTAGTGTGCATCTTTAAAAATGAGTAGTTCTGTGGCACCTTAGAGATTAATATTATAGCATGACCTTTCAGGGGGTAAAACCCACTGCATCAGATGAGTACGAGTGGAAAATACAGAATCCATGGTGTGTCTATATAACAGCAAAAGCAGTCACCTGTGAATTGTAGGATCTGTGTTATTGAAGGTAAGTAAGCTGAATGTGTCCTACTCAGAGCTATTGCTGTGAAAATGCCAATATCAAAGGTTGACCTTGCTGGAACCTGATGGCATCTCACATTAGAACAAGGCTCAGCAACCTTTTCAAACTGAAGAGCTAAACTACAGGCAGTCCCAGGGTTACATACAAGATAGGGACTGTAGGTTTGTTCTTAAGTTGAATCTGTATGTAAGTCGGAACTGGC